CATTTCTGAAGAAGGGTCTAGACCCGAAACGTCAGCTTTCCTGCTCCTCTGATGCTGCTTGGCCTGCTGTGTTCATCCAGCTCTACACCTTGTTATATATTATATATATTATTTCATAACAATGTGCTGTTTTAATTAATATTTCTACTTAGGACTCTTTAAGCTCCCAATCCCAAGGAATTTTTGTAACCAGCTCTTTTGTGTGAAGACAGGTCACAGATATAGGACAAGATACATCACAAATCCCCTATCGTCTCATCCATATCAATTAGGAAGCGTCTTCCATTCTTAGAAAATAAAGTGTATACAGAGTTCGCGAGGGATGGACTAGGAGGGGAAACTAAGTTAAATATTTACTTCCGTAATGCTACTTCTACAGATTACAGGCTTTTAGTAATGTTACCAGGATCAAGGATTGGCTTTCTCTTCAATTCCACTTATTCTGCAGTGATTCTGTTAGCATGACAAGCATCAATAAGTCTTCACACTGGGAAACGTAGAGGCATTGCACAGTCACACTGCTGCATGACATCTGGGTTGAATCACCCTTCTTCAAACATTTTATGCCTGGTTACTATAGAGGAAGTGAATATGTGGAAACCACAATAATGGGACTTTGTTCACAAATACAACTGATACTCAGAAAGTGCATCGTGTTCCACATAGGTGAGGGTTATCCCGGTAAAGAAAGGAAATATAAAGATGGAGATGGACATGAACAGGAGCTCACCAGGTGAATAAGGAATCATAGCATTCTATCCCAAGTACTTGATGTCTGTGTAAGAGTCACTTCAAAGCTACTCAAAACCACATGCATCCTTTGCAGAAGGGCCTTATCTCCATGACAGATTATTCATCTTATGAATCATATTTTAATTATGCCTAGTATTTCTACCTGTCTTCAAACAAGTAGTGGGTAAAATGTGGGCATATTTCTTACCATCTCCCTACTTCTTCTGCATCTGGTTATAAGTGAATCTTTAGTGCCTGGACATAAACGAATAGCTAAAGATAAAGTTTAGTTGCCCTGAAGGTGAGGTTTGGTAAACTGGATTGCTAAACCCCCACAATGTGGTTGACTACGTGCAGTAGGTTTCACAAGTACGTGAGTGAGTAAACCTAACAGGAATGATTGAACAGCAGCAAGTAGTGAATGTCTGTTAACAGTAGCTATTGGTTCACCTACAGCTTTACATTCTTTTAAAGAGCAGCTTCATCATAGAAAACAAAATGCAAAGAAGATACGACTTAAAGACAGAAAAAGATAACCAAGACATCAGTAAGTCTGATTTTCTTATATTCCTGGATGGAATGCAGCAAAGGGAAGCATTACTGCCCCTATTATTCCCCCTTAAATCCGCAGCTGGGTGCTGGGGAAAGTTGTTCACATTAATCATCTTCAATTGTAAACTAATATGATGCATGATAAGTAACTGAATGAGAATAAATTTTCAAATTTGCAGACTATGGTAAAAGCAGCTCTATCTGCCCCTGTGTTTGTGTTGCAATATTGTGCGTAAGAGATTAATCAGTGTTGACTGTGGCTTCGTTCGTTGTGGTCTCTCCTGACTCAGAGGTTCCAGGTTCATATTTAACTAAGCAATGGGGAGAGATCATGCTTGAGTGGGTGTAGCAAATCACAGGCTAGAATCAAGGCAGAATAAAACAAAAAGTAATATGGAAATGAGGGTCAAAAATGGCAGGAAATAATGAGAATAAACCTGAGAATGCACTAAGTCAAGGGCAGATTTTGCAAAGAAAGCAAGTTTGGCAAAACTAAAGGCTCTGTATTTGAATATGTGTAGCATTAATAATGAAGTAAGTGAATTGATAGCACACATTGAAATAAATATGATCTGATAACAAATGCAAAGATGTAGCCGCGTGCGACAAGGTTTGGATCCTGAATATTGAAGAGTCTATGACATTCTTGAAGATTAGGAAGCTGGGTAAAGGTGTATAAAGATGGAGGGATTGCACTGTTAATCAAGGATGGTGTTGGTGTAATAGTCGATTGATTAATTGATTTATTTATTGTTACATGTGCTGAAATACAGTGAAAACTTTTGTTTATGAGCGGTACAGGCAGATCATAGTAAGCAAAGGATCAAAAAGCCTTAGACAGAGGCATTTGGTTCAGAACAGGATATAGAATCAGTTTGCATAAAGATGAGGAAGGGGAAAGAAGTCACTATCAAGAGTGGTCTACATGCCCCTAACAGTAACCACAATGTAAGACAAATTATACAAGAAGGAATATTGAATGTTGGAATGAAGTTATGACAATAATTAATCTACCTATAAACTAGAACAGTCAAATTGGAAGTAGTAACATTGATGAGGAGTCATAGAGTGCTTTTCATTTAGTTTCTTACAGTAGCATGCAGCAGAGAGCAAGTTACACCAGTGTTGATATTGTGCAATGTGGCAGGATTAATTCATGATCTCAGAGTAAAGGCATCTCTACATCGCAGTGACATATATGATTGAATTTCATACCTAACTTGAAAGGGAGAAGAACAGGTCTAAGACTAGTATTTCAAATTTAAATAAAGGCAACTATATGAACATAACATATGGGCCAAGTGCAGACAGGTGGGACTAGTTTAGTTTGAGATTATGGTCAGCATGGACTGGTTGGACTGAAAAGTCTGTTTCTGTGCTGTATGACTCTATAAATCTGAGCTGGCTAGTGAACTGAGATACTAGGCTAGGGGATAGGTTAACTAAGAAGCAGTGGCAGATGTTTAAACGCATATTTCAGAATACTCGGAATAACATCATTGATCCAACAAAGAAGAATTGCTGGGTAGGGTCCATCATCTGTTGTTAACGAAAGACATTTAAGAAAGCATTAAACTAGAGGGAAAAAGAATACAATTACAAAAAGATGAGTGGCAGGTCAGACGATTCATCAGAATACCAAGAATGGTAGTGAATGATGAAGAGAGCCAGAAATTCGAGTATGAGAGAAACCAGCTGGAAATGTAAACATGGATAGCAAGAGCTTCTCCAGGTATTTAAAAAGGAAAAGAGTAGCTAAAGTGGGTAGTGATCCCCTAGAGGGTGAGAGTGGGGAGCTAATAGTAGATATTAAGGAAAAGACAGATGAAAGGAACAAGTACTTCAGGCTACAGTCAGGCAACAATCGTCTCTAACAACTGAAAGTCCTTCCACTGCCCCATGACATTTATTAACATTACCATTTCTGAATTCCTCACGATCAACGTTTTGGGAGTTACCAATAACCAGAAACTAAACTGGACTAGCCATATAACTACAGTGGCTACAAGAGCAGGTCAGAAGCAGTAACGCTTCTCCTGACTCTCCAAAGTCTGTCCACCATTTACAAGGTACAAATCAGGAGTGTATTGGAATATTCTTCACTTGCCTGGATGGGTATAGCTCCAACAACCCTCATGAACTGACCAGGACAAAGCAGCCCATTTGATTTTACTTCATTTGTTTATGGGATGTGGGCATTGCTAGCTGAGCCAACATTTATTATCCATGCCCACTGGCCCTTGAGAAGATGGTGGTGAGCTCCCTTCTTGAACTACTGCAGTCCATGTCCTGTAGGTATACCCACAGTGGCAAATGGTGGAATTTGAATCTAATAAAAGTTGGGAATTAAGTGCCTTTACTTGGTCTGGCTGATATGTGACTCTATGTGGTTGATTCCTAACTGTCCTCAGATGAATTAGGAATGGGTACAAAATGCTGGCCTAGCCATCAATGCCTACATCCCGAATGAATGAATTAAGTGCTGTCAGAGACGGAATTCCAGGATTTTACACCATATCCACTCCCTCCACCACTGTGCTTAGTAGCAGCAGTGTCTCATCTACAAGATGCATTAGAAAAATTCACCAAGGCTCCTGAAACAGCTCCTTCTTAACCGACTTTCATCTAGAAGGACAAGGCCACCAGGTACGAGAGAACGTCACCATCTGCAAGTTCCCCTTCAAGCAACTCACCATCCTGACTTGGAAGTATACTGCCGTTCCTTCAGTCTCTCTGGGTCAAAATATTGGAACTCCCCATCACATATCAGCCAGACCAGGTAAAGATGGCAATTTTCTTACCTAAAGGACTTCACGAGCCAGATGGGGATTTTCAACAATCGACAATAGATTCATGGTCATCATTAAGCACTTAATTCCCAACTTTTATTAGATTCAAATTCCACCAAATGACATTGTGAATCTACCTACAGCGTGTGGACTGCACTGGTTCAAGACTGTGGCTCACCACCACCTTCTCAAGGGCAATAAAGCTTATGTTCTTTAGATACCAGTCCTTCGGTACCTCCCCACTGATCACAAACCTCTGGAGCAGGTGGGACTTTAACCTAAGCCTCGACCCAGAGGCAGGGACACTACCACCACACTATAAGACCCTCCTAGTCCTTTGGTGTAGCTGGCAACAGCCATCCTCCCTCAAGGAGATTGACAGGACTGAGCTGTCCCTGAGGGAGACTGGAGGGATGGCGGGGGGGAAACTGCCCCTGGGGGAGGGGAAGGGAGGTGAGGAATAACCGCTCCCCCATGGTGGTAGGATGATGGGGAATTATCTGTCTCTGAGGGTGTCTCGCCTGGGTGGGGGCAGGAGGGGAGGAGGGTAAATGGAGAGGGCTTTGTCTCTGAGGGTGCCCCCCGGGGGGTGGGGAAGGGGATGTGGAGAAGGCTCTGTCTCTGAGGGTGTCCCCCCTGGGTGCTGCCCCCTGGGGGG